CTCCAATAGGCCCCTACTGAAGGTCTGCCACTGAAGAACAACAATGATAATTATAATAACAGCCAATAATAACAAGAACATAAGCAATAACAAGAACAATAATATTTATTATAAATTTATAATAATTGTTTCTTGTATTATCAATATTATACTTGATAATGCTATTTGAAAACAACTCCATATTTGTCCAACTTCAAATATTAATATACATCAAAGATATTAATTATTAAAAAAAACTAATCATTTAAGGTTAAAAAAAAAACAAAAAGGTTAATTACATCTTTAACCATGATTAGATTTTTACAATTTATTTATTTAATTAATAATTAAAAATAACCACCACCACCATCATCACCACTGCACAACCAACTACACCAACTGCGAATTCCCACCGGTGACCAGCCCCACCTTCCTCTACTGACAGAGCATTCATCGTAGCCCGTCACAAAGAAGAACGTCACCTTCCCCATCGCAGATGTTTCATGGTCGTGGGTTTCGGGTTATAATTAGGTTTAGGCGGATCGTCAGCGGTGTCGGGGTAAGGGGAAAGCCGATCTAATGTTCACCATGCCGGCGATGGGAGAGGGTGGGGCGGGTTTGCTTTTAGAGAAGGTTTTGGGGATCGCCGGAGATGGCAAAAAGCTAAGCAGGGAAAGGGCGGTGGTAGGTCGACACCGGCAGAGGAAGGCGGTGGGTTGGCTGGGGAAGATAATCGGTCACCGACGGTGGGTGGAGAAAGCTAATTGGTGGTTGCTAGCGTCGGTGGTGGCTGGGATTTCGTTCATTTTTTTTCCAGAATTTTGTTTTTTTTTCTAATTTTTATTTATTTTCTGATTAATTTCTATTTTTAAAAAGATTTTAAACCATTTTCTTAAATCATTTAAATGATTTCTTTTTTGTGGTGTATAGTGTGCCATCTAGGATAGCTTAGGGTGATCAAAACTTATTTGATCATTTTAGAATTTTCATCTCACAATTAAGAACTCCTAAAAGTTTTGCATTGGAGTCCTCGCGCAACCCTTTTATTGCAATTAAAGATTAACGGAAGAAGTATGATTTTTGATTCGTTATATAATATACTACCTCCGTTTTTTTTTATTAGTTGACACGTTTTGACTTTGCCACTATTCACACAATTCCTTTTGACCGTGTTTTGTGATTTATACGTAATGAAAAATATAGTCATGCGGGGTCTTGTTAGATTCGCCACGGTATATATTTTCAAAATGTCAACTTTTTATAATTTTTGCTTATCGACAATCAAAGATATTAACGATTGAATTTGTGCATTGGCAAACATGACTAAAGAAACGTGTCAACTAAAAAGACGAATGAAGTATATCATATAGTTTTAATCACATCAATTCACGCGTCACCACTTTCTCTCTTATCTCTTCCCTACAAAACCATCATCCCCTCCTTCCACCACAAAACCACCTAAAACCCATCCCTGGTTTTAGGTGGTTTTGTGAGGGAGGGAGGGTTTCATGGATGGTGGTTTTGTGGGTAAGAGATAAGGGCGTGACGCAAGGGTTGGGGTTGGGGTTGGCACTAGCGCTGGGGGAGGGGTTGCCGGTTGTGGAGGTAGGTTTTTTTTTTGGAAAAATGGAAATTAAAAATCCAACCTTTAGTTAATCTCACAAAAATCCAACCTTTATACTCCACCTTCATCTAAAGATCCATTATCTATTGAAGACCGATTTAGTAAGTTATATGCCACGTGTTAGCTAGTAATAGGTCAATTATCTTTTTAATTATTAAAAAAAATAATTAAAAGAAAAAGAAAAAAAAAATCAAAAACCCCTTTTCCACCATCACCACCTTCCCCAGCCACCACTCCCTCTCCCCTCCCTCCCTTGCACGCCCACCGCCCATCGGACACCAACACACCCGCCACCAACAAAACCGCACAGCCACCAGAACCCAACACACACCATCACCACCTTCCCCTGCCACCAACATACACGCCCAGCCACCAATAAAAACGCACAACCACCAACTGCCATAATCAACCTTGACAACCATAAAACACCACCACCAAAGCTATATGTATGACCCACCCATTAACCCACCACCACCACCACAAGCACCAGCACCGTCACCCCCTCCAATGATTCCATCGCCACTGCCTCTACCAACACCACCGTACCCACAATACCAATGACCCCTAAACCACCCCCTTGATGACCAATTATGTGATCCCAGCCCAAGCCACCCTCCAAAACATCCTCCATCAACCTGAAAACCACTTCTCAACACCCTCTCCCCTCCTAAAAACCGCAAGCTTGATGTCGCTGGAGCCGAGGGTGAGGGTTGATCCATGGAGAAGGAGGTGAGAGAGTGATACAGAGGGAGAATGAGAGTGAGGGAGAGGTTAGTTGTGGCAAAGGTGGTGGTGGCGGCGGAGGTGCGTGCTGCCTTGAGGAGAGAGAAAGAGGAGGAGTGAGAAGGGAAAGTGAGAGATTAAATGTAAAACCTCCGATTTACTAGCTGATAATAAATAAGAATTAAAGGAAAATAAACAAGCTTTGAATAAAATTGCGGAAGCATACACCTAAATCGGAGGTATCACCGCCACACTCAACAACCTGTCAAGTGTTAAGGCTTACAAAAAAATCCCAATAATTACAACCCAATAAATCTAGGTGAGCTATTTACAACTTTACAAACTCGTTGTAGCATACTAATCGATCACTTGAGCTCCCTTTAGCTACGATCACTTGATTAACCTGCTTACACAAACTTAACTGCTCACCATTAAGGACAAATTCCAGAATAGATCGTCGCAGGGCCACCATAAGAAAAAGTTATGGCCGCAAACACAAGTAGCACAACAAAATAACACACACTCGTCAGCAAAAAGCTAAGTAATCACCACATAACATAATACAGAGTATAATAGGATAATCAACATTACTAGCTCAATTAAATAATGTAGTTCAAAACTACATAACACATTGTACTCTGAAAATAACCTTTGTCTTACTCAACTTCGAATAATAATACGAACTTTTACTCAATTAACTCATATAACCCATAAGTGTGCCATGCTCTTTGTTCTATACCTAGCCTTGGATATGGGTAATTCGAATAAAACCAACAAGTATAAAAACTTGAATACTCCCTATAACCAGAAAACACCTTGAACCAGACCACATACGGGCTAATTCCCACTGTAGGGGACCATAGAAAAATAAATAATAAAGATTGTACCTCATTCTTAACTCATGATTATTACCCTCTTACCAACAAGCCAAGGACTAAGTAATATAACGCCGAGTCTCAAACCAAGAACAAAACAATAATTCTCAACCATTTGATCTCATACATCGATCAAATAACCATTCACATGATAATAAATAATATCTCAATATTGGCACAGGTTCCCAATTCATATATGACGACATATTCGGTTCATAAAATATCTCAACTCTTATAAAACTAATACTAGTACCCAAAATTAATCAAATCTCCACCCAAAAATAATACTCTGCATTAACAACCCTAAAACCTTGATAAAACAATACTCCCTATAACAACAACATTAAAACTCTAGAAATAATTGTACAATCAATTGTGTTCAACAAAAGTAATATGATATTCAAATCAAATCATACAATATCATAATAATTAATCATATATACAAGGAGTACCATTAATAAATCATATCACACATAATAATAATACGAAATATAATACAAACATCTCTAAAATTTAGTGTGATTACCTTTCGACGAATTAAAATCGCATTGAACAAACCGAGCTACATAGGTTGTGTAAATTGCAGCCTTCATTATACAAATATGTTGTGGAGCTTTAATTTCCTATTAGACCCACAATATAATCATCATATAAATTAAACTAATGGACATATGATAGATATTGGAGTATGAAACAAAAACTTACCAGAAGAAACAAATTGACTTTGTTTTACAAATCTAAAGCATCGGCAAAAAGAAAACGACTTCTTCAAAAAAAAATTAAAATATAAAATATCTTTTGAGGGTTGAGAATATTTATAGGGTTTAAAATAGTTTATAATTGTAGAATCATATCCAAACAAAATAGGGTTTTAAACGTTCCGTACTCTAAATTAAAAATATGAGATTAGAAAAGTTATATACTAAATAAAAATAAACTATATTTTTATAAATATATTATATAAAATCATAAAATATTCGGGTGGCGGAGGTGCGTGCTGCCTTGAGGAGAGAGAAAGAGGAGGAGTGAGAAGGGAAAGTGAAGAGATTAAAAAAAAAAATTAACTTGTTTTACCGATTATAGGTTAAATGGATCTGTTGAAGAAGGTGGGGTATAAAGGTTGGATTTTTATGAGATTAATGGAATGTTGGACTTTTAAGAGAAGACTGGGCAAAGTTGGATTTTTAGTTTCCATTTATCCATTTATTTTTTTTAATTATTAAATATCCATAATTCAAGTTTAATTAAGAGTTAATTAGATTGTTAAATGAATTTATTAGAAAAAAAAATTGACCGGTTTATTAAGGTTGCAGGTAAAATATCTTGTTTAAAACGAATACCTTCAAAAGGTTGTATTATTAAAAATAATCAAAAGATTGACTTATTTTTGACGAGCTCAAACGTTATATTATTTTAACAATTTTTCCTTAATAGAATCGATTTATTTTCTTAAGCTAACGTAGACAGTATAATGGGAATTAATAAAATAATGATCTTAATTTGGGAATTGCGAGTTTTCCTAGCATTATTTGTGGAAAGAGCTAAATAAGCATTTTTTTGTCGTTTATCACGATTAGAGGTGTTAATTTGGATGATCGGATTGAGTTCGGTCGAATCAAATTAATTTTTAAAATTGAGTTATGGTAAATTATTATAACCACAGGAGTCGAAATCTTGTTTTTTGGATCGATATTGAATTGGGTCGAGTCGAGTCGAGTCGGGTATTGTTTAGACACCTCGACGTGATAAACTTGTAATTTCCCAATTGATTGGGAGTACAAATAAAATTGATTTTCAATTCCATTTCTCATAGTAGTGAATTGTAGAACTTCCGATAACTCAACGGAAAACCGATTCTATTAGTGGGGGCTGGGGGCAATACAACTCAAATACAACACCCATTTACTTTTTTCAATCTCAAGTTTCATCAAAAGCAAAAATCTCATATAAATTGTAATAAAGGACTAGTTTTATTTGCAGAATCTTCATTTCTCTTGAATTGGGTGTTTGTTTTTGTTTTGAAGAAGAGAGAGAAAGTTGATGGATGATACAATGGTGCAGCGAGTTTTTGAAGAAGGAGGCAGAGATTATATTCAGCAACCTTCTACTTCTTCCTTTTCTTCCATTCTTCAATCTCTTCCTCTTCATGTAGTACGGCTCTTTTCTTCGATTATGTAAAAATCATATTTTTTATGTAGTTTGATCATTTTTTTTTGGTTTATTTCAATGTTGATCAATATTTTCAGGATGGGTTTAATTGTTCTCCTTTGATTATTTGTATTTCTGTTTTTTGCATTAAATATGGAATTTTGGGTATTAATTTGTGGATTTTCCTAATTTCTGGGTATAATTAAATGTGGGATTATGGATATTAACTACTTAGGATGAATTAATAGTTCTCTTCGATTATATACTGTGGAATTGTTTATCTAAGAAGTTTAGAAACCTAGGTATTACGTAGTATATATTATATTTAATGAATAGTTTTTAATTTATTATTATATGAATTTTGTTTGTTTTTAGCCATATTCGAATTCTTAGAACTTGTTACGGAGTAGTTAGATTTAATTTTCAATTTGGATGATTATTGTGGTTATAACTGGTTTCCCATACTAAATGTATGATCATCTGCTGTTAGTTTAATTTGTTGGTCTTTGAACAATGACAGTCTTTTGACCATGGATGTTATTTGCTAATAAAATCAATTCAAGAACTTCGCGAGAAGCGAAAAGGTCTTGTGACTGTGGGAATCGGCGGTCCTAATGGCTCGGGCAAAACTAGGTGTGTTCATCTTCATCACTATGTTTATGGACATTTTTTAATTTAGAACTTTTGATGAAAATTTGAGATGTGCTCATCACTATGTCTTGTGTACTCTCGTGAGTCGTGACTGCAATTATTTCTTGGAGATTGAATCCTTGATTAATTAAGTCTTTGATTATAGGTTTTAGGGGACATAGGATATTTACTAAGATGTTTCATCAACTAAATGTCAGTTTTTATGATTTTTCTTTTCTAAATTAATAGTGTTGTAACGTGTGCTGGTTTATGAAGCTTGGCAGAAAAGGTGACATCTGTGATTGGTTGTACTGTTATATTGATGGAGAACTATCGGAAAGGAGCTGAAGAATCAAATGATTTGGATTCTATAGACTTTGAAGCTTTAGTTAGTAATATGGAGGTTTGTATTTAGCTTGTTATTATTTGCTGGGGAGGAAGCTTGATTATGCACATTTCTTTGAATTTGAATCTCTCAATTAATCATGAAGTGTCAAAACCTCTTTTGAAGGACCTTATATGTAATAGAATAATAATGTTGTTCATGTTGTATGGTTTGGCTTTGGTAAGAATCTGATCCTGTCATAAATGTCCTTTCTTTTTGATGTTTGATAATCTTCTGATCTTCTTCACTAATTTTCTTACAAATAAGGTTCCTTTGCTAGGGATTTCACTACTTTAGGGTTTTAACACCCTAAATTAATTGTATTGAGGAAATTGAAGTTAGTGCTAAGGTCATCAAACCCTTATTTGGTTAAGAGCTTTTTGGTGAGCTTTAAGCTTGTTGAGGCCAATAGAGGTTTTGTGGTTGGTAAAATGAAAGAGCATAGGAGCTTTTTCATTAGCTTGTATTGTACGTTTAGTTTTTTGGTTATTACATACATTAAATTAGCTTACTATTAATAATTATATATCAAACACTTTTACACAACTAACTATATATAAATAGCTAGTCGAACAAATTAATATAACCAGTTATATCAATTGGCTGGCAAATTACCAAATAGGGCTTAAATCAATATTTTTGTAGGGTTTTTGTATGAAGCAATGATTGATTAACCCTTAGGTCCTCAAAAAGAACCACTATATTAGGTTAGTTTTTTGTTTTTGTTTTTGTTTGTTTGTTTGGGTTTTTTTTTAATTTTATTATTATTATTATTATTATTTTTTTAAATGAGGAAGAAATGAAGCTGTGGTATGTCCTTTGTAGGTTTGTTGACTTGATACTTTCACTATTTTGGTATTTTTATTAAGCAAAAGTTTTTTTTCATTTAGAGTTCTTGTTAGTGTGGGTCATCGGTATCTACATAGGATAAAGAATTATAATTATTGATTTGTTGTAAATTATTTTGTGAATGATTTTCTCTTTAGTTTATCCATTTGACATTAGCTTTTCCCTTCTTAGCTGAGAAGCCTTCATATGCCTTTTATCTAGTTGTAATTATTTAGGGCTCTTGATTGCCTATACTTTAAGCTTTATATCCATTCACTATGCTTTGCTTGATTTGGACATATCATTTGTTGAAGTAGCTTATATTGAAGCTAATCATGTAAATTTGTATATTGAAGCCTGCTTCTCTTTTTGGAATAGGACTTAATGAAAGGTAAAGATACTGCAGTACCAGTATTTGATTTCCAAGAAAAGAGACGTGTTGGGTCAACAATCATAAGGGGGACTTCATCTGGAGTGGTGGGTTAATTTTTTCTACTCCTATTTTCATTCTTGAGCCACTTGCATTAGGCTCTTGTTTCTAGAGGAGTTAGTTTGTGTTTTAAAAAAGTGGATAAAGTAAAAGCGAGGTTGTAAAAGGTTTTTATTTGATGGTGTAAGAGGGGTAAGCTGGTAAAAGGTGTTTGTCAAATATAGAATAAAATAGAAGTGGGTAGAATTCATAGAACAAAAGAGAAACCTCAAAACAAAAAGTTGGTAGAACCAAAAAGAAAAAAAAAGAGGGATTATTTATTTTACAATGGAAATTGTTAAAATATTTTGCCCAACATTTTATGTTTCATGTTTGCAGGTAATTGTTGATGGTACATATGCCTTGCATGCAAAATTGCGGTCATTGCTGGACATTCGGGTTGCAGTGGTAATTAGTCTTCCTTTCATTTGTATTCTATGTTTTTTTTTTCCTTTTAGAAATTTTTGCTTACCAAGACCTTAAGGTTCTTTTATCTAATTTTTTGTAAAATTTTTGTTGTTGTTGTAGTTGTTGGTGTTGATGTTTGTGAGAATTTGAGATTGCATCTCTTACATCTTCTCTGTTTTATTTTTGTTTCAACAGTTTTGTATAAAATTACATGCCTGGCCTTTGCACTTTTTTTTTGAAGCAGGTTGGTGGTGTTCATTTTAGTCTTCTGTCTAAGGTTCGATATGATATTGGAGATTCTTGCTCCCTGGATAATCTCATTGACAGCATATTTCCATTGTTCAGAAAGCACATTGAGCCAGACCTTCATCACGCACAGGTTCCTTATGAATGATGTATTAATTTGGCTTTTAAGTGTTGCCACATATATTCTTATATAATCTTTATTGTACGAGATGCTTTATGCAGATCAGAATTAACAACAGCTTTGTTTCATCTTTTAGAGAGGCAATCTACAAGTTGAAATGTAAAAGCAAGGTTTGTTTTTGGTGGTCATCTGAGATATCTTGTGTTATGCTACATACTATATATCATAATATTATATGACTGAAGTTGTCAAAATGAGCTTCTTTTACTGTTTAAAGATGATTAAATAGCCAAGGGTGGACCTATATAGATGATACAGATGATACCATATTACCATTATTGTGACATTAGATTAACCCCAAATTTATCTATGTTAATAGTATAATATATTGATACATAAATAAAAGCTACTAGGCAAATGCATCTTCTATTTATGCCAAGCTCTATCTATGTGAATAGGATGACTTGTAGTGTGTCTTTGTCTCTTGGTCCGTGTATTTTGCATCATTCTCTGTGTCTTTTGGCATCGGATTCCTGTAGTACCGACAAGGGCTCAAGTCGGATGTGAAAAGGTCTTATGAGCACCAATCAACAAAAGCGAATGTTGAGTTAGAAGCACTCTTGCCTATTGGCAACACGAGTGAAGTCAACAATATGACAACTTTTATGTATTTGGGGACTTGTAGGATTTATAGTTGAATGATTTTTAAATGTAGAGCGGGCACGGTAGTGTTATGTGACCAAAACATTCCTTTATAGTTGAAAGGGAATTATTTAGGACTGCCATAAGACTCTATAGTACAGAAAGTTGAGCTTTTAATAAGGAGCACATTTAAAAGATGGAAGTTGGAAATGCGTAAGTTTTTCACAAGAAAGTGGGTGTTGCAGGCATTGTAGACAAATTAAGAGAAAATATTTTTCGTTGGTTCGGTCATGTAAGACGAAGACCCCAAGGTGTACCGGTACGAAGAGTGGGATCATTGAGAGGTTAAACGAGGTAGAGGGAAATAGAAAATGACTTGGTTGGAAGGAGTTAGGAAGGATATGAAACATATGGATTTGCATAAGAATGAGATATTTGATCGTAAGGGATGAAGGAGGAAGATTTTTTGTGGATGACTATACAAAATAATCACTTTTGGTTCATGTAGCTGACCCATTTATGAGATTAAGGCTTTGATTGAATGATTGAAACAAATATAAAGCATACAACAATGCACAAGTAATAAAGCAAGAGACAACAATTGAAAGAGGAAGTTCAAAACCATAGAAGAAGTACAGGTTTTGGATTTGGCTTGTCCACAAGTCATGAATGATTTTCTGGTACCACACTATCACAATCAATTACATTAATACTAAAGGCGAAACTTGGAGGGACACTTGGCAACATAATAAAAAAAAGTTTTCCCTCCAAATTTACTTACTAAATAAAACTTATTTTTTTACATAAATTAAGCTTTGTATTTAAATTATGACTATTACTTTGTACAAAATCTAAAGTAAACTTCCTTAAATGTCAAATTGTCCATTATTATAACTATTAGGTGTTTAATTATTTTCTTTCACATATATTTCATACTTTCTAATACTAAGTCTATACATAATATTGGAAAAATTGCCCGGAATAATCCCACCTTTTGCTCATCCGCCCAAAATAATCCCACCTTTCGATTATTTTTTAATAATCCGACCTTTATACCTCTTCCGCTTTAAATGGTCCTATCCAGTCATCTAACTTATTATTATAAGTTACCACACACGTGTTAGCCTATGATTGGTCTAAAAATAATTTTTTTTTAAAAAAAACAAAAATCAAAAATAAAATAAAAAACAGAAGAAAAAAAATTAAAACCCAGATTCCAGCAGCCTTGCAACCGGACCCTTACCCAATTCCGGCACCATGTCCCTTCCTCTCCACAATTCAGACCACCAACTCCCTTCCCCTTCTCGATTCTGGCCACCCCCTCCCTCTCCCTCGCCGTTTCCGCCCGACCCGAACCTAGCACCCAAACCTGCAACATCGCTCAAAACCACCAGAAAAGCAGCCCTAATGCTGCTACTTCTCCTTCACAGACGCGCCACCACAAACCTGCAACAACATCATAGCCACTCTCCCCGCAGCAAACACCAAACGACCCACCACAACTGCACCAACAATCACCGGAAAACACCACAAACTAGAGCAGTCGCAAGCGCTTCGAATCCCCACAAATCAGCCCCAAAATCAGACCCAAAATCGCAAACCTATCATAGCTAGAGGTCGTTAGTTTCGGTTGGAGGGCTGGGTAGAGGGGGTGGTTCGGTTGGTGGGCTGGGTAGGGGTGGTCGGCGGTGGGTCTGCTAGAGAGATCGAGGGTGGCCTTTGGATTTCTTTTTCAATAATTTGTTTTTTTTTTTTTTTTGATTTTTTTTTTTGGATGAGACCACTCACGTAATGACACGTGTGGAAATAATCCCAAGTCACAAATGGTAACTTGTTTAGCCGGTTTCAAGTCACTTGGGACTATTGGGAGCGAATTGTATATAAAAGTCGGATTATTTAAAAATAATCGATAGGTGGGATTATTTTGGGTGGATGAGCCAAAGGTGGGATTATTCCGGACAATTTTTCCCATAATATTTTATATCAATTTTTTTTTTTATTTTTTTTTTTTGTGAAATTTATTGTCATTATAATTATTTAAAAATCGTGCATAGCACGGGGTTTAATTTAGTATATGATTATAGCTAAGGACTCATGGGAACAACAAATGTTTGATCCTTTTCTGCCTTTTAGTATTCTAGTTTTCTTGTAAGACTCGTACCGATGTTCTTTGCCGCTAAGTTCTGCATGCGCGGTGTAATTTGTTGGAAGAACATTAAACTTTTGCCTGGTATTTGTGGGGTGGATATATACAGGGTTTGTTCCATAGGTTTTGGTCATGAAGTGGAGGATAGGTTTTTTGGTGGACTGGATAGCATGTTTTTTTTCTGCAGGCAGGTGGTGTTTTTGGATGAATGATGACACTGAAGGCCAGAATTTGTGAGCACCTGGAAAGGACTATTTCTATGGCTTCTTATTCAAAGTTTAAACCACTTCCTGGCTGTTTTGAAGGGAGCTTTTTTCATGATTGTATTGCCTTTTCATATCATGTAATACGTTGAAGACAGCTAATTAGTCCACATGTTGATACCCGTTTCTGCTTTAATTTTTTAACCTTTCCATAGGAAGATGTACCTGGTATAGATTTTTTTTGCTTTTGTTATGAAGATGTGCCCATTCTCGACTTGCATTTTAGACCATCTAACCTCATGCTTTCCTTGGAAATAAATGACAAAACTTATAAACAGTATGTATATATATATAATATATATATAGGGGGAGGGATCCAGTAAGAACCCCTCCTTATATAAGAATTCTTTCTTATGTAAAAACACCGTATGTTCTAAACTTTTTCCTATGTTCTAAAATTTTTTCAACCTATGTTCTAAAGTTTTTCCAATATCCTACTGTAATTTTTTTATACTTATATTCCAAATTATTTACTATATTCTAAATTTTGTTTTAGTTTATGTACTAAATTTGTTCAAATGTTCTAAGTGATTTTTTCAACTTATGTTCAAAATTTTTTCCTATGTTCTAAATTATTTTTTTAGCTTATGTTATAAATTTATTTCCTATGCTATAAATTATTTTTCAACTTATGTTCTAAATTATTTTTCATATGTTCTAAATTTTTGTTTGCATGTTCTAAAGTTTTGCTATGTTTGAATTTTTTTTTCTTATGTTCTAATTTTTTTCTATTTATGTTCTAAATTTTTTCCAATGTTCTAAATTTTTTTTCTTTGTTCTAAATATGAACTCCTCAAAATTACAGATATGCCATTACTAAAGGATCATTTTAGATGGTTAGATTAAAACTAATAAAGGGCTAAGATTGGTTCTTATATAAGAATGGGTTCTTATATAGAGGAGGGTTCTTACATGAGCCTTCCTCTCTCTCTCTCTCTCTCTCTCTCTCTCTCTCTCTCTCTATATATATATATATATATATATATATATATATATATATATATATAGGGCTAAGATTGGTTCTTATTAAGAATGAGTTCTTATATAGAGGAGGGTTCTTACATGAGGCTTCCCCCCCCCCTCCTCTCTCTCTCTCTCTCTCTCCCTCTCTCTCTCTCTCTCTCTCTATATATATATATATATATATATATATATATATATATATTGAATTTTACCACCAACTATTTTTTAAAACATCAAAACTTCTTACCTAGTTGGCTTTGAAGTGAAATGTGATGTCATGTAGGGCCCACGAACTACCTTCTCACTTATTTCCCTCCTTTCTTTCTTTCTCTCTCAATCTCTCATTCCCCTATATTGTATTCCTCTCAAAATCGGTGAAAAACATCAAATTAAATTACATATTCATGTTGATTATTTCACGAATTGAAGTTTTTTCCCAATTTTGAGAGGAGTACAATACATGGGAATGAGAAATCCAGTGAGAAAGAAAGAAAGGGAGGGAAAAGGTAGTTAGTGGGCCCCACATGACATCACATTTGAGTTGAGAGTCGAGTAGGTGGGAAATTTTGATGTTTTAAAAAATAGTTGGTGGTAAAATTAAAAAAAAAAAAAAAAAAAAAAAAAACTGCAGGTGGTAATTACTAAAATAGCAACAATTGTAGGTGGTAATCGTCAATTTTTCCTATATATATGTGTGGGGGGGGGGGGGTGTGGGTGTGTGTGCGTGTGTAAATGTATATATATTTTATATGTTGTTTATTTATTTAATTATTTTTGATATTAGTGCCCCTTTTACAGTCACCAAATGGACATTCTGATTACACGCTGAGTGGGCAGGAGGCGCAAACAGATAAGTAAGTGCTGAGGTTGCTGTGTTTTTTAGTTATTGTGCTATTTATAACACGTATAATTTCAGTAGGTTTGAAACATCTGAAAGTTTTCTATGTCACCTAGGGAGTGTTAACTAAGCTCTTGTTTCTATGGTCATTCAGATTGACCCTTTTCAGTTGATAAACATGTCTATTTGTGATGGCCATTATTTATGATTTTATGCCTTAAAAATGTGGCATTGTCAAATATATATTGAACACTAAATGATCATGTTTAGACACTTGTGTAGTTTGGCAACAAGACTAGAAAAAATTCGGTGCTATATCATTTTCTGGGGTTGGTACATGGCTAATGTTTGTGCAGAACTTCATCTATTGTCTATACATGGCTAATTTTTGTGCAGAACTGCATCATGTCTTAGTATTCAAGTCACTGTATACATATATCTTGATTTGATTTAGTCAACCTGTGACTATTTTATTTTCTTTTAGTTTTATTGAGATGTACCTTCGGCCCCCTTCAGCAAACGAAGAAGCTCGGATAAATGATTGGATCAAAGTGCGTCAATCTGGAATCCGTTATTACCTTTCACTTGGTGATCAGAGGATTGTTGATAAACATTTTATCATCCGGCCTAAGGCAGAATTTGAGGTAAGTTATGAGGCTCTTATCGATGAACGTATCAAGCATAGCATTATAAATACATGAGCAATTTCAGACTAATTTAAATGCCTACTAGCACATGTGATCTATATGAATTATGTCCTTAATAATTAAGGTTAACAACTTTTGTTATCACAGGTGATATCCCTACAAATATTATGCTTTGAGGGCCTGCCTTTCTCATGTTTCCTTATGATATCATATGAATACTGTTTACTTCAGGAGTAATTGTATTTATGTTTTCAATTTTTATCTTAATATTGTAAAAAATGAGTGGCCAATTTGGTTGAACTCAAGGCTATATTAGGATTATGAAAAATTGTCCTATATGACACCTACTAACATGTATCAAAGTGGTGTTTCTTTGTAATCCTTTTAGCGTTCATTTTGATGCTATTACAAGAATTGTAACTTGGAGTTTCTTTGTAATCCAGTTATTACTTATTGTGTAAAATAACCCCATGTGATCTACGTCAAGTATGTTCTTACCTTTCAGCAATTGGTCCCTAAAAATGTGACTATTGTTTATAGAAATTAAATCATAAAGAATCATGCTTATTTCTGATTGTAATCCCCTGTATCATGTGAAAGCAGGTCGGGAAGATGACACTTGGTGGTTTGCTTCAACTAGGATATAATGTTGTCGTCAGCTATAAAAGGGCATCAATGACTTTCAACTTTGGAGAGGTTTCACTGGCTTTTGAAACTATCGACTCTCTTGGTGAAACATTCATGGTGGTGAGGGGTAGTAATCGAAAGGTAAGCCATGGATTCCCATTTTAACCCATATCTATATATGTTATCTTTTTTTGTTTGTTAGTTGATCTTTATCTGATATGCTTGATGGTTCCCAGCCAAACCTAATTTTTTCCCTTGATGAAATTTTGTCAACATATTATCACAAGCTGTTTATAAGAAGATGCCCTATTGCTAAAATTATTAGAAGTTTGCTCATCTCTTTTACCTATTGAGATCTTCCAATATCAAAATTAAAGACCTGGGAACATATGTTAGTAGAATCCCAAATGTGGATTAGGACTTGGCCTTGTTTATTTTATTTTTTTTGTTTATACTTTTTTTTTGGATTTAAGATAATTTTTTGCAGTAACTTTCGAAATATTATCAATTTTTCTTTATTTATTTTGAAAAATTGGCTTAAAATAAATGTTGTTGAATGTTTAGCTCTTTTGATTGGACTGAATTGGAGAATTTTAAAGGCCAACTAATTTTGTTTCATAAACATGTTATTGAAAAAGAGACCATTTGTTCAAGAAGTCAAATAGGCTATGAAAGCTCAACTGAATTACTGCTCTAGGCTACAACTAGATGCGATAATGACGTAAACTGTGAAAATATAACTAAAATTAAACACATTGGGAAAGAAGGTAAGTTGCATCCTCTTTCTTAGAAATTTGAAGAATGTTTTACTCCATGTGATTTGGACCCATACCCCATGTCCGCACCTTTATATTCCAAGTGTTCTACTATTTTTCTGCACACATTAATATACTAGGTTATTGCATATGCGGCATACATTTTTTTGTGCCTCAACAGAATTGTTCTCCAGATAAAAGGGCCAGGAGATTACCTAACTGATCTTGCTTGATTTCCTTTCTCTAGACTGTTGGATCTGAAGCTTTGAGACTGGGTGTTTGCGGGCCTTGGATAATTAAATCATATTTAGAGCTAATCCTTGAGCAAAATGGTTAGCATCAAGTTGTTTATATTTTCAAAAGAAATTAATTTCTGTGCTAGGTCCATACATGTGTTCTATTTTAACATTTAACTTACAGGAGTACCACGTCTTAATACACCACCACCCTTAACTAGTACCTCGACGACACCTACTCTGGAAAGAGCAATGTCTACACCACGGCCTATTCGTGTTACTCCTAATTTTGTTAGTCAGCTTGAAGATCTGTCTCAACCATGGACTCGATCACCTACCAAATCCAAGATGGAACCTGTCTTAGCAACATGGCATTTTATCTCAACAGTTCCATCAAGTGTTGATGCTTCTGTTTTAGGTTTGTAATCTCTACCTGGAAATGGATGTTTTTTTTATCAAGCGATTTTTTCTTTTTTTGTTTTACATTGTTTAGACTAGGTCCTTATTTGTCTATCTATAGCTCTCTCATGAAACAACTGCAGACACCTCTTCTTGCAGGGACAGTATGCAGCTTGCTCCAATGCCTGATTCATATGACTTTGATCGAGGGTTGCTACTTGCTGTTCAAGCTATACAGGTTAGAATCGAGGGAAAGTTTTTGCTGTTCTTATTCATGAAGTTTTATTACCTATTTTGACTCAAATAAGTAATGGTTTTGCCTTCGCTGTGATTCAGGCTCTGTTAGAGAATAAAGGACTTCCAATCATAGTTGGGATAGGTATATATGTGATCTCTCTTTCTTTATTTTACCCTGTCCCCTATATCTTTCCTCACCTGCCTTTATTCATGCTCTAATATCAACCCCAAACAAATATGGCTGCTCCACTTTTTTTGATGAGAAATTAATTTGTTTTATTAAATCATATAAATCTAAAAAAAGAAATTTTAAATTATCTACAGATTATCCGAATTCCTCTGTATCTCTCCTAGAAATTATTGGGGAAAGCCCGAGCTACGTTGCCCATAATAAAGCCAACATTCCCTATATTTTACATTATATTTTGTGGGATGGTAATTGCAATTCAACCATTTCTTTCCAGCCAAATGTACCACAAGATTGCCAGCAATGCATCTTGCCATAGCAACTTCCTGTTTTCCCTGTCATAACCCATAAATTGAATCTGTATCCACTCTTAAATGTTTGAATATTATACCCAAGTTTCCTGATTATGCACCACTAAGATACTTCTCCAATGCTAGCCAGCCTGCAACCCTTTTAACAATTTGAGTGTGGCCAAGACTGCAAATTGTCTTTGTAAAGTTGCCCTATAGGCCAATACTAAGCAGTGTTTGAATTACAGAGGTCAATCATGCTCCAACATTTTAATATAAAACAGAGTTTGATCTTTTAGGATACTATATAAGCTTACAGGAGGCACTGCCTTTTTTGAGGGTTTCGGGCATGCATGTGTATTGGGGGAGAGGGACTTATGACAAAGTTGGAGCATGATTCTGCTTTGTTCAATCAGCAGACTAAGAGTTTTGAGCAGCAGTGCAAGGGGCTTCGGTGAGGCATGTGGAGAGAGCAACCTTGATGATGTACACATTTGTGTCAGGCTGTCAGCTGGTGCTCTGATGGCCTCAATTATAAGATATTTTATTTTTTTTTCAATTCTATTTTATCCTTAAGTTTTCTCTTATTCTGTTTTCTCTGCTTTTTCTTCTGTAGGTGGTCCTAGTGGCTCTGGCAAAACAAGTCTGGCTCACAAAATGGCCAACATAATAGGTTGTGAGGTTGTTTCCCTTGAGAGCTACTACAAGTTTGAGCATGTAAAGGACTATAAGTATGATGACTTCAGCTCACTTGATCATTCTTTGCTGTCAAAGGTGAGAATTTATAACTTTTTTGTAACAAAATTGTTTTTGATGGTGGCTCATTTATACTATTTACCTTGCTATTTTGTATCTAGCATCTTTCTTCTATGGACTAAGGAATTTGGAGCTTTTCAAATTATTAATGCAGTTTGATGTTTTTTCTTATATATAGTATATTGTTCATTGTTTTCTTACATCTTTGTTATTGTTGTAGAACATTGATGACATACGGAAGAGTAGGAGAACAAAAATACCCATATTTGATTTGGAGAGTGGTTTTCGGAGTGGCTCTAGGGACCTAGAAGTTTCTGAAGACTGTGGAGTGGTAAAGTGCACTTTTTTTTTTCTTTTTTTTTTTTTTAAAAAAAAAGAGCTGGTTAAAAAATAAAAGCTTCAAATTGGAAACTGATCTCCAAGTTCCGTGTATTTATTTCAAATGACGGTGGACTATTATTGTGAATTTATTTTAGCGTTAAGGACATTAGTGGTTGACTAGGATATCTTATTGTTTTGGTTATATTTTGTGGGTTTTCAACATTTATGTACTTCAAACCTGGTAACCCTTATCCTACTACAACCTCCCTACTGGGAATATCTTTCATGATGGAGGTATTGCTGGTCTGGGCAGATTTTACTTGCAAAAACGATTTGGTTACTCTCTTGCAAGTGTCGCTTTCTTTTAGTTTGACTAGTGTGTACATTCTAAAATTATTTTCTTAGTAGTTTTTTTCTATAATGAACGCGCTTTGGCTTTTCCCCCCCCCACCCTCTCTTTTTCTTTTAAATGTCATAGCATTTAAATTGAGCAGTTGAAGAGGGTCATCACAACGTACTTGTTTACTTTATTATTGTTTAGGTATTTAGTGGGGGTTAAAATTAATGTCTGGTGCTTACGGTGTTATATTAGTGTGAGCTTAGTAGTTACTATTTAGATGTAAAGGTAGTTATCAGGTAATTGTTCTTTTTGATGTGTTAAAATAATTTTGTATATTTTTCTAATCTGATACTAGAGAAGATGATGGAAGTTAAAGTGGACTCAAACAAATTATTGGAAGAGTTTGGTGCTGTATAGTTAACATTTCTATGTGATTAATTGGCTGGGGTGTGCCAAAAATTGGCACGGCCCGCCGGGAAGCAGGCACGGCACGAGCCACCCCAGGCACGGCCCGCGGCGGCCTGGCACGGCATGATGCCCACCTTTAGTGATTATCTTAAAGGAGAAGAGGATTCCATGTGGTGTGAGGTTGGTTAGGAGAAGAGGATTTATATTGTGGGATGTAATTTTGTTTTTAGGTATAAGGGTAATGATGGTCTGGATTTTGGATAATTTGGTAGCGAAAACTTATCTTCAGTTGGGAAGTAATTGTGGCATTCTCCGCCCTAGTTTGGTTTCCTTTGACTTACAGGTGGTTAGGTTCTTAGGCTCTTCATTCTATTTTTCCTTGGTCAAGTACTCAGTGGATGATAAAGACTAAAGAGCACATTGTTTAAATTGAAAGGATTTTTGGTAGCAGTCTTTTAGTATCCTTTTTTTCCTTTGTCTATAGATTGTCCTTTACACATGATACTCATTTATCTTTCTTTTGGTTGAGTAAAGGTGCCAATAATCGTGTAATCTTCATTTATCTTACTGAAATTTTGTGATCCTTTGATTATGCTCTGTTAGGTTCCTACGTAAGGAATGTATGGATGACTGATTCCTGGGGTCCTTTGGGGGTCTTTTTCCTGTATTTTCTTTTACTAACACTTGAAAAATCAACAAGTACTTAATCCTTCCATGTTAATGCTTCTATAATTCTGATTGTAAGGTTAAGATCCCAAAGCGAGTGAAAGCATTTGTCTGGGTTGCTAGTTTGGGGAAGCTCAGTATGTAGTACCTTTTCCATCCCTTAAAGATTGTCCCTTCATCAATATTTCTCTTTATTAAGAGTTGTATTGAGTGAGTAGGTAGTATTGTCTTGTAGCATGTGAGGTAAATATAGTAGAGAAAAACTGTGGGGATACATCAACAAAAAAAGGAACTAAACTCAAAGGGGCAAATTAAAATGAAATTGGGGTAATCTTTAAGCACCAGAGGAGGTAATATGCAATTATGCAGGATGACATGTGCACTTTGTATTTTGTTATTGAGGACACAAGGTCTTATTTGTCTTTGCTTTTTCGCTCAGTTTTGTTTCATTTGGCAAAGTTAATTTGATTTGGTTGGGATCTGGAGTCATTTGTGGGTTTAATATATGAGGTTTGAATGGTGTAAGTGGCACGAGTTCTGTTGCAGGCTGCTTTTTTTTGGCCATTTTATGGGTGTTTGTTTAGGGTGGTAGGTAGGATTTTTCTGTGTTCAGGAGTTGGGAGTCCTTTTTGGTTACTCTCTGGTAATGTGTGGTGTATTAAGCTTTCCTTCCATAGTTACATATCCAAAAATGATAATTTGCACAGTTAAAGTACTTTTTTTATTTTATTTTATTTTATTTTATTTATTTTGCTTTGATTTGTAGTTTTAGTGGTATATTGCCTTGTGTGCTCAAAAAAATCTTTTGTGTGTTGCTTTTGTAGGTTATCTTTGAAGGGGTTTATGCTCTGCATCCTGATATTAGAAGGTCACTGGACTTGTGGATTGCTGTTGTAAGAATTACTCTCCACATTCTCTTGAATGTTGCTTGTTTGTTGGGCACAGTGCTCAATGTATATAATGAGATTGGATAATTACAGGTGGGAGGTGTCCATTCACACCTAATTTCTAGAGTTCAAAGGGACAAGAGCAGAGTTGGTTGTGTTATGTCTCAAAATGAAGTAATGATGGCAGTGTTCCCCATGTTCCAGCAGCATATTGAACCTCATCTTGTTCATGCACATGTTGGTATTCTTTTATTTAGCTTCTTGAAAAAATGATATAGTTATATGCCCAAGTGATGCCTTGAATTGTCATATTTGTTGGTATATGAAAATTTGGTAAGATATTTTTGTTCACCTTAATAAATAGAGTGGAATCGAATTTGCAAACAGTAATAAGGCTAAATTGTGATACAGCTTTCCACATTAGCTACAAGTAACATTAAGATTATTTCTTCTTTCTAATCATAGGAGGATCAGTAGCTGTGATAATCTCATTTTCTCATAGCGTCTCAGTATAAAATTTAAATTAGTGATGGGAACATTTTATGTATCAACATAAATAAACATATGAATGAAGTCAAATATTCTGTTTATTTATTTAGTCATATATTTATTAATACTAAGCTATGTAGCTCATAAACAACTTGAGTTTCAGCAATGGGAGTGTTTCAAATTAAGAAAAATTCCCAGCCATTATTACGTAAAGGTTGGGGTTTTGGTAACAGGGAATCCTCATCTTAGAAATTTCTGTGTTTTGTAGATAGTGAGAATATCATTGTGGAATTGAGTAGAGCAAAGCGGTTAACAAACAACTATATTTATTCAAATATAAATTGAGGGACGAAAAATTTATATTGATTGTATTAATAATCTTTAGTGATGAAAGTTTAGGCAATTAAAATTGTAAGCAATCATTTATGGGCTATAGTTAAGGGATGAATAAATTGGGAAAGATTTACCCATTGAAACTTAGAGTAATAGTCTAATAGTTTAGACTAGAATAACAGTAATCCTATTTAGTATAAATTTTGATTTGTAGTGAAAGATATACAATATATACTTTAGCCCTTTCCTATATTTAGTTGACTTGGTAGCTTGGTGGTATTGTGTAGTTATGATGTTTATGGATGCAAGGGAAGCAAGGATCCAACCTTGTACCAAGCATATGTTTTTTCTAACATGAACTAAACTTTATTTAGGAGGATATTGCTTCTATACATATGTTTTGCCACTTTAGATATAAAGAGGGGGTTACATTTGGCAGGATGGCAGTATTGTCTTTAGGTATAACAAATTTCACAATTTTTTTTTCCATAATTTTATTCTTTAATTTTTTTTTATATTGGTATGAGTGTGAGCAACCCCAAATGACCCAAAGCCTGTCTTGCTCAGCCCAAAATTTGCAGAGCTTAAAACCTTCAGTTAGTACTACTTGACTACTTATGCATTTGAAAATAGAGAAACAATATTATTAGATAATTGATGTCTACTACCTTTTTTTTTTTTTAAATTTTTTTTTTTTTGGGGGGTGGGGGGGGGGGGGGAAGAGGGATGAAGTGATGAATATTGTACTCTTTTTTTGTTGTTGAATAATGGCCAAAACTGGTTTCAATTTAAGCTGTAGATCTTTGTACAGAGTTAAAATCCCCCCAAAGTTCCCGTTGTTTGTCATTTATAAGTTTCAAGTTGGTGCAAACAAAAAAATATATATATTATAAATATTAAAAAAAGATAAACTAAAGAGGGAGGAAAATGGAATATATGAAATGAGAACAAAATTTAGAGTCACTTTAATCAGAATTTTCAATTTTGTTGGTATCCAAAATTAGAATAAGTTGCTATGACAATTTTATCAGAGTACAAATTTGGTGATAAAAACAGAAGATATGATAACACTTTTCTCATTTCTGTATGCAGCTCAAAATTCGAAATGACTTTGATCCTGTTTTATCCCCTGAAAGCTCATTATTTGTCTTGAAAAGTAACAAGCAAGTACGTACATCTGATACTCTATTCCTAGAATTGATTTATATACAATTTTTTTTTTTTTTTTTTCGTAACAGACTATCTCAATTTTTTTAATAACAGGTTGCTTATCAAGATATATTGAAGATTCTTGACTCTATTAAGGTCTGCAGCTCTGTACAGAACTTTACTGACATATATTTTAGGCTTCCTGGAATACCTTCTAATGGCCACTTAACGGAAAGTGATTGTATACGAGTCAGAATGTGTGAGGGAAGATTTGCATTGCTGATACGAGAGGTTGATATCTACATCTCCATCTCCATCTATCAACGTCTAATTAGTGTAGTTCTTCCTTCGGGCCTGTAATTTTCCTTCTTTATCTGTTTACGATGTTTCAGCCAATACGAGAAGGGAACTTTATTATCCAACCGAAAGTTGATTTTGATATCAGTAGTAGCACAGTGGTTGGGTTGCTTAACCTTGGGTAAGCTGTTCCATAATTCTGTAATAGCACTTCCAGTAATTTTGGTTTTTATTAATTTACTTGGTTTGACCTACATCTACTCCATAAAAATCTGACTTGATGTAACTTATCAATTAGTCTATCATTATTACCAGTTGATAGATTGATATGGCCTATAATCGCCTATGATGGATTTGAAAATTTGATTGCCTGATAAGCTGGCTTGACCAAATATTGTAGCAGCAAAGATCATCTAGTTACTGGTATTTCGCTACTTCCAGCCTATCTTACTTTGAGATCTCTAAAGGTTGATTTTGACAGTAAGTAGATGGAGACATTGAATAAAGCTTCTTTCTGTTTGGCAATGTTTGGAATGTCTTAGATCACAGTTGTGGGGAACAGGGAAGTAGTTTTGGAAGAGATTGGAGGAAAAGTGGACTAGTGGAGTTGCTAGTTTGAATTATTGCACAAGAACTTTATCACTTGTATAATTTCTGGCATTAGGATATAATTTCTGTTTGTTTGGGTCCTGCCTCTGAAAAGGTGGCTGGAGGGTGTAGTTTAGATAAATTGCATAGATTCCTAATTTACGAAAAAGAGTTGTCTAGCACTCTAGCCCAATGATAGGTTTGTATGAGAACCTCATTGAAGTGCCTGTAGCTACCAAAAATGGTTTTCAGTTAGTAATTCCACAATCTTAATTTATGGCAGTTCTTAAAATTGGATGTGTTTTGGGTGTTTTTGTCCCTTGGGAGAGTTACAACGCGAAGACTGATCCGCAGTGAGCTGTACCTGCAAAACAAACGGAGACACCGGTTGGATGGTGCTCCGCCTCCGACGCACAAGTCAGTAACTTGAAACGGAATAGAGAGAACGAAAATTTAGGTGGGTATCTGCTCGGATTCCAAGCTCAGGTCTTTCTCTGATGTAAGAGAATAAGGGTGTAATTAATGATTCAATGTCCCCCTCAAGGTGGGGAAATATCTCCCTATTTATAGGGTCGTTGGAAAATGCGCCCCTATCTAGGTCACTTGACCTAGATTTTAGTGGGCTGCGCCGTTTTACGGCGCTCCTAGGAGTTTGGGCCTTTTGAAAGCTGCCAATTCAGAAACATATCTGAAGGCACCAAGTGTCAAGAGGATGTTGAGCCACATGAGCCATCCTGACCTTGACACGTGGCGACCTCTCATTGGTCCACGTGTCTAGGGTAAAAATACCCTAAATTTTTGCCCCTCAGAGGTCGCACGTGCATGTCACGTGGGGCCTGTGACACGTGTCCACCTTTCATAGGTGAACAGTAACGGGTAAAATTTTGAATTTCAAATCAAAATTTCCCCCCACTTTTACTTTCTATAAATAGAAAGTTACCCCCCTCCTTTTCACTCTTAACGTTCATATTGACCTTTTAGAGAGAGAAAAAGAGAGATTTCTAGAGAGAGAATTTTCTCTGCTCCCGCCTGCATAACAACAAGTTTCAAGCTTCCGAGTGCTAGAAGTTCATCACCCGGCTCACCGGCTGTAGCGGTTTTCAGATTTTCCAGAGTTAAAGCAAGGTAACCGCCTGTACCATTTTAGCTTTTCTCCCTTTCAATTTGCATACCGTTTTTCGCCTGTATACCCGGCTTTCTTAATAGAACATAAATGAGTTCCCAATCCACCCACTCGGCATTGCCTAGGACACTCAGCCGATCCCCAGGAACGGCTGAGTCTAGAACAGGGGGTGCCTCTTCTGGACTATCGGAACCAATATGCTCATCTCCGAATTCCTCCCTCTTTGTGTCTGTGCAGGACACAATGGCCAGAACGAAACAAACGGCCAGGCGGTTTAAGAGCCGGCGCACCATGAGAGTGCCTGCCGATGAGGTTTTCCCGGAAGGGGATCCGAGGAATTTGGAGGAGAGCGGATCTGACGAGGAGGCTCCCTCTACCTCCGGGAGCTCGGGAGTAAGAGCGGTGGACGGCGAAGGAGCCGCCTCCTCAAATGAAGCCGGCGACGCTGAAGCCGGCTTGGGATCAAGAGCGGAATCCTCCTGACTAAGGAGATTTTGCGGCTGACTATCAGCAGCCGCCCAAAGTTGCTGAGCATCCCAACCCCAAAAGAACCCGGATGCTGCCGAGTAATATTGCCCTTCTTAATAGCGGGTTCAGGGCTTTTAAAGAGAAACATCCATTTGGAAAGGGTTGGGAAGTTATTGTCCCTCCGGCTGATGCTGTGATGGCGTGGGGGGATGACATTGACATCTTCTATGAGGCGGTAATAGAAGCCGGCCTCCGGTTCCTCCTCCACCCCGGGATTAGGAAAATCCTCAAGGGGTATGATCTGGGGGGGGTTTGGCAGCTCACCCCTAATTCGTGGGTGAACATATTAAGTTACATTGCCGCCTGCGAGTTCCAAAACTTGAACCCCAGCTTCTCTGCCTTCGCTCATATGCACTACTTGAGCAAGGCTCCAGGCGGCCATGGGGCATGGTATACGCTGACTACCGTGCCCCAATATCTAATGACTTTGGACAAAGTGTCCAAGTGGTCCGGGTGGAAGGACAAGTTGTATTTGATTTCCTCTCCAACCCTAAGACACAACACAACCGGACACTACGCCGGTACAACACTGAGCCGGCTCTACTTGGACGTAAATGCCCTCTCCCGGAACTATCTACTAAAGCCCGGGAGCAAATCATGGAGCCGGGATTTTTTGAGACAACAACTGAGCCCATGGGGGATGGGACTCACATCATAGTTCCCAAGACCTGGATCCCCCATCCGGACTTCTTCAAAGATGAGTGCTTCTTGTCCGCCTGCGGACTGAGTACGATGTTTTCCAGGGGTAGAATACTTCTCATCCGAAATGATTGTCATTTTATTTTTATTGCAAACTTGCCTTAATTCTTTCTAACTTGACATTCTTGTTTTTGCAGAAGAAGCCCTGTGGATGGTTGACCAGGATAAGACTCCTGCTAAATCTGCGGCGCTACTGCGCAAGGAGGCGGCCCTTGTCAAAAAGGCAGCCGTCGAGGCTACGAAGAAAGGCGGGGTAAGACCGCCTGACTTTATGTTTGCATATTTTTTTTTTTTTTTTTTTTTTTTTTAAACATACCGGTTGGGTATACTTATATTTTGCTTCTTTCTCAAAAGTCCGCCAAGAGAATCCCTCGATCATTCTCCAAGCTTCTCAAGAGGCAGGGAGATGATCTGGAGAAGGCTCCGGGTGCCAAAGCCGCAAGGAAGGATCCCCCAGAAGCAAAGTTCTGCCCAATCTGGTCGTCCAACGAGTGGGGGCAAATCCCCTGCTGTTCTGAAGAAACTGAGTGAAAGCTCAGAACAGCAGAAAGCGCCGGAGGCCTCTACGGCTTCGAAGGGTGGCGAGCCACCTAAGGTTGCAGGCGGTGCGGCAACCGCTGGGGGGGGGGGGAGGACAAGCCGGAGACCCATCCGGAAGTTCACGGTAAGAAACAAATTGAAATACCTTGGCCACTTAATTTTATGAGAATTAAGACTAAGGTTGATTCTTCAAAAGGGTCAGCCAGTAGCCGGCAACGGATGAATGCCAGCTACACTGCTTCTATCTCACAAAGACCTACTTTTGATGCAGATCTGCTTCCTAACCCGCTGGATCTCGCCGGCTTCGCGAAGCGGATGGTGAGGACCCTCACCCGGTCTGAGAAGGCCTCCATACCTGTCTGCAGGTCGTGGACTTTGACCGGATAATGGGCTCTGTGACTGAGGTACATGATTCCTCTACCTTGATGTCTTTAATCTTTATTCTGACTAAGTAACTCATAAACCGGCTGTTATTGATTCAGGCCATGGTAAGAGTAGACAGTCTCTGGGGCCCCTTCAGGCGGAAACAGGAAGAGGTAAATGACGCCAAACGGAGGGCCCTAGAAAACCTCTACTTTGCTGAACATTCTGATTATATGTGTAATTTAAAGATTAAAGCAGTAGAGTTGAAACAGGAGGAGCTGATCCGGAGTTTAACGGCTGCAAACGATGAAGCTAACAGCCGGGCTAATGACCTTGACAAGCAGCTGAAGGATGCCAAGTCTGATCTCAAGGCATTAGAGGATGCTGACAAAGAGAATGCCCAACTCCGGACTGACAATGACCGCCTGAAGCTCGAGCTCATGACCCTGCGCAACAAGCAGGCGGATGAGCTGGCCAAGGAGCAAACCCGGCTGACCGAGGAGAATGAGCGGGACAACTTGGCCCGGTTGAAGATCACCTGGGGCCTCCTCTACCCAGAAATAGACTTTGAGGTCTATAAGCTGAGGTATGATTATGCCACTGAGGTGTATGATGCCCAACAACTGGGTGATGCTCTTCTGCCTCGCTTCCAAGACTGGGCTGCTAAGCAGGGATATGAAGTCTCGGATGATGAGGAGCCGGCGGATGATCATCAAGAGGGCCAAGCCAGCCAAACTCAGCCGGAGAAGACTCCGCCTCAGCCTTAGGCGAGCCTCCCACCTTTCTGCGGCAATATGCCAATCAATATTGTTTACCGGCTTGCATGCCGTGTTTTGTTTTATCTTTTTACCAACCATGGGGTTGGATTAACATTTCCACTTTCTTTCTTCACCGGATGTGTCCATTTTATACGAATGAAGTATTCCGACTCAGTCGGATTTTATATACGTCTTGAGTTTTTTCGATTTGAATTTTTATTCCTCTGTTTGCAATTCTATAGTATTTTGCCTAACTTAAAAAAGCATGCGGCAATTTGCAATCCGGGTGCTCTTGCCCCTGGCCGGCTGTGTGGTTTGTTTTATGTCAGGCTGATTGATTGGCTTGAAAACACTTGATACTTTGAGAAGTATGGAGTGTTTTTAGGCCAATCAATCACAATGGTGATTGCCCCAAACCAAGTGCACAGCCGGCCATAAAAGCGGGTGCTTCGAGCTTCTTACCCAGTATTCCGTCTGAGGTTAACGCGTAGCCATTACACAATCCTTTGCCCCAATAGGGAAAGTGAGTGCAACTTTAGAATAAATAACCCAAGAATCTCTATCAATGACCGACTGATGCCT